CCCCGCAGAGCAGGGAGCCCGATGCGGGACTCGATCCCAGGACCCTGAGATCATGACCTGAGCCGAAGGCAGACGCTTAACCATCTGAGCCACCCAGGCACCCAAGACTGTAGTTTTTAAAAGTCATATTAAGTTATCTGAAAACCTGCTTTTTGGTGCAGTTTATTAAAGTCAGTGGAATACTAGAAGAATTTAAAATGCCCATTGAATCACATTTTAAAATTATATTTTAAATTTACATTTTTTAAATATATATCTGTTCCCCCAATGTCAGCTAAAGTAGTAAATATAATGTTTTTCATCTATGTATCATTAAAAAAAAAAACTTTATATTTTGTTCTTAGGAAACATCCTTCTGGTAGATGGCACAGCATGTGGAGAAATCAAAATCACTGATTTTGGTCTATCCAAGATCATGGATGATGATAGCTATGGTGTAGATGGAATGGATCTAACTTCTCAAGGGGCAGGCACTTACTGGTAAATGTATAATTTAAAATATTGAAATTGTCTAGATTACTTTTTATGAGTTTAGTTTTTATTTTCATATATCTTTGAGATTACAGTGGTGAGGGTACTAATATGAAGTTTGAGTCAAGAGGGAGATTACTGTTGTCAGTCTTCTTTTCTCGTCGGATCTTAACTGTAAATATCAGCAAAGTGAAGGGAGAAGAACTTGGCATTGGCAAGTGACTTAAGTGTCTGTTAGCCAGGAATTCCTCACATGGAGAATCATGGATTTTCTTCTGTATGTTCAAGTGATGTTTATCATCACTAAAAATACTTGTATGAAGATCACATCCTGACTATTACAAGCAGTAGCCATAAGCATGAAGTCCTCTCTGTAGAGGTTCTGTGGTGGCAGTTTATATTGGAGATGGAGGTTTTGTTGATCATGCATGGGAAAGAAGTTTGGAATATTCTTAGTCTTTGGACTTGGCTCTCAGAAATCCCTTTTCATAACTTCATACATATAAACTCTAGATAGAACTGTAGATTCACAGGTCTAAGTCTGAATGAATGTCATTCCCTTCAGAGTACCTAGGTTTTGACAAAAATCACTTGCAGTGTGAATTTTCAAACTTACTGTCAAATTCACTTGAAGTAGAGAATATAGACTATAAAATTTCAAAACAAACTTAGTTTAGCAAAAGGAGTAAGATTGTAATTGGAGAGATAACTGTACTCAACTTGATTGAACAAGATGGAGATGTGACATTAGGGTTTCTGGAACAGTCTTCGCACAGCTTAGGCACATAAGAACCAGTTCCACAAGATGCCCTTGGTCTGTATGAACTTTTCATGAACAGGGATTAGTCATGTTCATGTGTTCTTTTAAAGCCATTTTACTTTCAAATTCTGCTTGTAGCATTTTCTAGGAATATGAGTAAGATAATAGATCATGGATTTTTCAGCCCATATTTAAAGAAAATTGTCATTCAAACTAGTAACCCCCTAAAAGTTGGTATCCTCAATCAGTAGTCTTCAGACTTTTAGCAGCAAGTCTCCTTCAGAGAGCTCTGGATTCCATGGAAGATAGCTTAAAATAATAGATCATCCTTCCTCTGCAGAGACTCCCACTATATTGTTTCCCTCGCACTCTGGTTTTGCTTGTGGAGGGCTGGGCAAGGAGATTAACCTGACAGGTGGGCTGGAGCATTTCCATGTAGTAACCTGGAATGTACTTCCCATAGAAACATGTTTTGAAAAATGGTTCATTTCCTACAGTCATAGTAGCTTTTTTAGCTTTATATTTGGTAAAGTGGGATGTCCTGTACAGTCTTGCAGGAATACATGTAAACTATTTGTCAGTATCACTTAGAAGAAAATCAGTTTTGTCCCTCATTCCGTCTCAGGTCTCAAATGCAGTCATTCACTAAATCCTGGTGGTCATTTCTTCCCAAATAGCTCTGGTGTCTTTCTTAAAATTCCTCTCCTTGCTTACAGCTTTTTGTCTCAAGAGACAGTGTAGCATAGTGTTTAAGAGCCATTCTTGTTTCATAAATCTACACAAAATATATACTTTTATTCATAAAACAAATCTGGCTTTTTACTTGATTTGGGGGGTAGGAAAGGATTTACATTACAAATGAGTTTTTGGTCATCTTTGGTGGTTCTATTTCAAGAAGTTTTTTTTTCTTTTAAGAAATCTGTGCATATCTTGCTGAAATTTAAATGATTTAAGCATAGTATAAAACTAAAGGAAAAGAATTAGATTCCCATTTAGCTGTATTATTCCTTTTCAGGATTTTATAGTTTATCTAAATTTTAGAGGTGGGAGATGCTTGCATCCCTGCTGGATCTTTCTATTTAAAACCTAAGGTGTGACAAATTTATTTTTACCTATCCCTTATATAAAATTATGAACTTACAAATAGCACTTAAAAGTAGAAAATGGTATTTTTGAATACTTAATATATTTCAGATGCTGCTAGGGTTCAAAAACTGCACAGTGAATGATAAGAGCTCCTTGAGCTGCTCACAGTTTAGAGTGATTTTAGTTTAATACCGTAATAGAGGTACCATAATATCTGCTAGTTACATGGGGAAGAAGCAAAACTCAGCCTAGAGGGAACAGAGGTCCAGTCAGTCTTAATGAAGAAAAAAGGTACTCACCAAATGAATTAGAGTGGTTAAGGAAGGCATTAGAGATGATCATATTAAGCAGCATGCGGGGGCAGGGAGGTAGTGTGGGGAACCAAGTGAATGGTCTTTGCTGAGCCAGTTGCTTCTAGATTAGAATGGGTCTGTGTTACAAACAGGAGCTATGAGGGCTTACCTTGGCAGTGCATGATGTTGCAGTTTTCTAAACAGAAGAACCAGCTGGTCAGATATGTGTTTTAGGAAGAGAATTGCTTACACTTTGAACACAGGTGAAGGGGCATGGGAGATCATTTATAATTGCTTACTTAAATTAGAACATTATAATTTCTACTGATAATATATTACCTACAGAAATGAAAAATGTTAGTATATGTAATACACATACATAATACGTATGTGTTGCATACTTTATCACGAAGTTGTATGTCAAATGATACAAGGATGTAAATGCTGCAAAAGTTTGATTTTCATTCATGAAAGTCCTAAGGTTTTGTGTATGAGTATTCTGAGTGTTCTGAAAGTATGTTTAGAAGGCTTAAATTACAGATTGTTAATAGTATCCTTTCCTCTTTTCTCCCCAAAAAACTGTAGGTATTTACCTCCCGAGTGTTTTGTAGTTGGAAAAGAACCACCAAAGATTTCCAACAAGGTTGATGTGTGGTCAGTCGGCGTCATTTTCTTTCAGTGTCTTTATGGTAGAAAGGTAAGTTAAAGTGTGCAAGATTCTGTTCTATGGAGAGAAGTTGAATTTTCCCTCTTAAATGTAAAGTTTAATTAACTTGAAGTCAGTGTAGAGCCTTCTAAGGAAAGCCAGGCCTTTGTTCCTTGCTAAAATTTTCATGGATCAGATTATTTTAATGTCACAGCAGCTTTCTTGATCTGCTTTTTGCCCCCCCCCTTAAATAAAAGAAGAAACTATCAATTGTGCTAACATTTTCTGCTCTTAGGGATACTGAAGCCAAAACACTTTACCTCCCCCACTCCTACCACCACCCCCAACATACTCAGGCCTGGGCATAGCATCCCCTTGTGCTTCCTCAGGGAAATTCCATCAAATTTAGTCTTAATTCTTCCCAAACCTCTTCCCACACCTCTCTTTATTTTGAAGTCAGAGCTACAAGCTGCCATAGATACCTTCCAACCCCTTCATCAGTGTGGAGAGAGGGGTTAAGGGACTTCTCTGGGAAGTAGCTTCAAGTTAGGAACAACCCAGAGCTGTCAGTGAAGGAGTGTACCGTGTTCAAAGTATTTTATTCTTTGGAATTTTCACAGATGTTTCCACTGCTTCTTACTTTTTTAATCATATTTCCATTTTTTAAACAGTCGTAATAAATTTTTAGATTTTTTTTGTATTTTTATCTTAAATATGTTGCAACAGCATTATTTTCTGTGCTATTTGCTATGTTGAGGATTGGTTAGATGGGCTTACTCAGCCTTCTATCAGTTATAACCTTGTTTCCATGAGAATGCATCCCAAGTTACAAATAACTAAGAAGATTTTTTAGAACACAAATCATTTATATTTTGGATTCACTGATAATTACTCTGTTTTCTAAACTTTTTTTTTTTTTTAAGCCATTTGGTCACAATCAATCACAACAAGACATTCTTCAAGAAAATACAATATTAAAAGCCACAGAAGTCCAGTTCCCTGTAAAACCAGTTGTAAGCAGTGAAGCAAAGGTATTACATTTATGTAAATAGGTTTTGTGAAGTAATTTCGTAAATTGTGCTTAAAGTAAGTACAGTTGACTTTTGAACCACATGGGTTTGAACTGTACAGGCATTATTGTGAATTTTTTTTTTTTTAACAGTACAATACTGTAAATGTATTTTCAAGATTTTCTTAACATTTTCCTTTCTCTAGTTTACTTTATTAAAAGAATACAGCATATAATACATATACAAGATATGTATTACTCGAATGTTTATGTTATCGGTAAGTCTTCCAGTCAACACTAGGCCATTTGTAGAGTTGTATTTGGATTTTCAACTGCGCCTCTAACCCCCCACATTGTTCAAGGGTCAGCTGTACTTATTAATAAGTAAAGTAAAAGGGATTGCTGCCACAGTAAAATCTGCCCATTAGGTCTTTGGTTTTCATCTTTTAAAGACCCAAATACACATCAGTTTGCTTTGAAAATTAGGGGAAAAATCACAAGACCTTTATGTTTTATATATCAGCTTATGTTAATATTGAGATATTTAAGTATACAAGAAGTAAGAAAGTAGTAATAACTACTATTTAGTGATTATGTGCCAAGCATTGTGTTGATACTTTAACAGCCTTATGAGGTATAGATCAGTATCTTCATTATTCCCATTTTATAAGGAAGCCAGTTAATCATATGAGCTAGTAAACAGCAGAGCTGTGGCCCAGTTTTCACTCTGGTAGACTCCAGAATTCACTGTTGACCTTATGCTGCCCTACAGTAGCTCTTGAGAAAGCCTGACCTCTTCATCCCCTCTGCTTCCATGTAGCAGTCTATGAATCAATGATGAATGGCTTCCTGTAGTTCTAATCCATCTGTCTAGTAACATGGAATAGCATTTGTAATTAATAGCAAAATGTTTATGGTACTTACTATCTTTCCACTTTCATCCTCTTGGCCTTTTACATTTGTATTTTCACTCCTGCTTTGTTACACTCATCACAAAGCTCATTTCTCTGTGATCCCTGTTGGAATCTTCTCCTTTTTAAACCCTATGAAATTCCTAAGAAAAACACATGAAGTTCCCATTTTTTTCTGGTATGACTAGCCTAGGCCATAAAGATAATTCATAAGCAGGCATTATATAGTTTCTGTATTTTTAGAATGTAGATAAGCACTGCAAGATATTGCCAGTGATTGAGGTCATAGTGACCTTCAGAATTGAAAATCTACTGGTTTTATGGTCTGGTATTTCATTTTGTCTGTTATATCTTAATTGGCTTTAGCAAGTTATTTGGATGACTTTTAGAAGATAAAAGAACATCACATATTTTTCGTAAGGTAAATATGGCTCCTTAAAAAGAACTTGACAATGCTACCATCTAAATTTTGTCTTCCTTTTCTATCTGCAGCATCGGTGGTAACAGAAACTAAGTAAATTAACTAACAGATATGACCAGGAATGAGTATATAGTGCCAAAAAGAAGTAGGCCTCTCTGGCTCTAGCCTTAAACTCTTCATAGGCACCACAATCACAGATCTGGGAGGCAGAGGGGCACATTGTTTTTTGTGGGCTTTTGTATGTGTTGTGTGTGTTGTTTTTTTTCCCCCCAGACCTCGTCCTTACAGAATACACCTTTACCAAGTACCTCCACTGACCTGGTGGTGTGGGCATCTTAAGTACATTTACTCCTTGTAGGCTTCCTCATCTCGCTGTCAGCAGGTTTTCATCTTCTCAGACTCTGCCTTTAACAAAATCAGTCACTCTTGATTTTTTTTCCCCTCCATCTTAAATTTCAAAGACCACTCTGAAAATGATTAAGACCTAAGGATTCAGAAAGATTTTTGATAAATATTAGTAAGCTAACCAAGGAGAAGGATAAGAAGAGCTAGGTTTGTTTTTAGAGAAAAAATTACTTATAATGAATTTCAAACGAAGAAGGTGTAAAATACTTTTTAATGTGATTAAGCTTTGATTTTAAAGTTATGTATCTTAGTTGTAGTTTTCCTGCAGTGCTTTTAATTGATGAATATATGTGGAAGTTAGGAATTTCAAGACAAGCTAAAGTTATTTCTACTGTAAATAAAGGAAATGATCAGTTAGCCCTTGCAAAAATTCGGTATTATATATATTATTTATATAGAGAGAGAGAGTGAAAGAAGCCAGGCAAAAGAACATAAGCTGTAATTCCACTTAAGTAAAGTTCACTCAACTACAGTAGATGTCAGGGTAGTGAGGATCCGGCTAGGTTGGGGGCAGAGCCAAAGCCTAGACGGGCAGGGCATGAAGAGATTTAGGAGGTTCTCATTCTGGTTGCCAGCTACATAGAGTTGCTTTGTGTGCTGTTAAGTACACTTACGATTTGTGTACCATCTGTTAGATTTTTATTTTTTAATACAGAGTGAAGGACAATATATAAGAATCAGTTTGAGAAGGAAAAAAGATACTGATTATATTCCATTATTTAGTTTTTCCAGTAGTTACACACAATATCAACCTAAAAAACCTCAGAAGTATCACTTCAGTGTTCCCTTCATCTTAAGAAATTCATTATGCTAAAAAGGAAAAAAAAAAATACGGCAAAAAAAAATGGCATCATACCCTCTAGCCAAAGTACACAGACAGTAAAATGGAATGAGTGTGGGAGGGTTGTTTTAGCAGAAGAAAAATTCTAGAAGTCTGGAATTATATAAGGAGAACTGCAGCTTTCTGTAGTCAACATAGTATTTGGAAGTTCTTGCCAGAGCAGTTAGGCAAGAAACAGAAATAAAAGGCATCCAAGTTGGAAAGGAAGAAGTAAAAAGGTCACTATTTGCAAATGACATTATATATAGAAAACCCTAAAGACTGTGCCCAAAACTGATAGAACTAGTCAACAAATTGAGTAAAGTTGCAGGATACAAAAATCTGTTGCATTTCTATACACTAATAAACTATCAGAAATTAAAACAGTCCTATTTACAGTTGCATCAAAAAAAAAAAAACCCTAGGAATAAATTAACCAAGGAGGTGAAAGATGTGTACTCTGAAAACTAAAACATTATGAAAGGTATTGAAGATAATGCAAATAAATGGAAAGATATTCCTTGCTCATGAATTAGAAGAATATTAAAAAGTCTATACTACCCAAAAATTGAATGCACTCCCTATCAAAATTCCAGTGGCATTTTTCACAAAAATGGATCACCCAATCCTAAAATTTGTATGAAACCACAAAAGACTGAATAGCAAAAGCAGTCTTGAGAAAGAACAACAAAGCTGGAAGCATCAAACTCCTTGATTTTGAACTATATTTCAAAGCTGTAGCAATCAAAACAGTATGATATTGGCATAAAAACAGACAAATGAGTAGAACAGAATAGAGAGCCCAGAAACAAACCCATGCATAGATGGTTGATTATGACAAAAGAGCCAAGATTATAGAGTGGAAAAAGGACAGTCTCTTCAATAATTGATGTTGGGAAAACTGGACCACTGTCTTAAACCATACACGAAAATAAACTAAAATGGATGAAAGTCTTGAATGTAAGACCTGAAGCCAATAAAGTGGAAGAAAATGTAGCCATTAAGCTCCTTGTCATCAGTCTTGGTGAGGATTTGTGGATCTGACACCAAAAGCAAAAATAGACAAGTGGGACTACATCAAATGAAAAACCACCTGCCCAGCAAAAGAAACCATCAAAAAAATGAAAGGGCAACCTACCAAATGGGAGAAAATATTTGCAAATCATAGCTGATAAGGGGTTAATATTTAAAATATATAAAGAGCTTGTACAACTCCATCGCAGAAAAACAATCAAGGGGCACCTGGGTGGCTCAGTTGGTTAAGTTTCTGACTCTTCATCTCAGCTCAGGTCCTCATCCTCAGGGTCATTGGTTCAAGCCTCACGTTGGGCTCCACACTGGGCATGGAGCCTACTTTAAAAAAGAAAGAAAAGAAAATCTGATTTAAAAATGAGCAGAGTATCTGAATAGACACTTCTCCAAAGACAAATATGGCTAACAGGTACATGAAAAGGTGCTCATCGTCACTAATTAGGGAAATGCAAATCAAAATCATAGTGAGGGGGCACCTGGCTGGCTCAGTTGGTAGAGCACACAACTCAATCTCAGGGCTGCAAGTTTAAGCCCCATGTTAGGTGTGGAGCCTACTTTAAAAAAATAAAAACCACAGTGAGATACCACTTCATACCTGTTAGAATGACTATTTAAAATAATAATAATAGGGCGCCTGGGTGGCTCAGTTGGTTGAGCGACTGTCTTTGGCTCAGGTCATGATCCTGGAGTCCTGGGATCGAGTCCCATGTCGGGCTCCCTGCTCAGCGGGGAGTCTGCTTCTCCCTCTGACCCTTCCCCTCTCATGCTCTCTCT